CAGAGTCAACGCTTCCAGCACACCCAAATATCAAATCGTGCTCAAACGGGACAAATACTCGCTTCTGCTTGAACAATGGCGGATCTGTCAGAACACTTCAGAAGTGTTTCACTGTGATCGTTGCAGACGTTCACGTTTATCCTTTGTTCTACTTTGAGCCATTCGAATTTGCAGCACCAATAGCCTCATGCCTTTGTTGACTTCCAACAGACACAAAGAGCAACTGTTGAGCAGTTAACAGGAATTCACTACATCGCTGCAATGATTGGCAACTAACGTCCTGTCTTTATCATATTTACTGTTTCAACAGATTAAGGGGGAATCATCTTGCTAGTTGATTCGCAGTCTAATTTGCTGGACCGTGAGATGACTGTGCGACTGGCTGACTAGTGAAAAGGCATTTCCGCGCATTTATCACTGGATCTATGTCCACCTGTTAGCAATAAAAAGGGTGACCGGAGAAATATCTGCAGATGTCACCGTGCCACAACGAATTTTTGCAAGCCATGTCATTTCATGCCGGGTCAAGGCAGGCCATGTCATGTCAGACGATACAATAGGAAGGGGTGGGATATAATTGCGGTCAAAATGGCTGACACCATTTCTGTTTGTTTGATTTATACAATTTAAATCGTCCTATTAAGCTGTAGAAGTGACCGGTCTTTGTATAGTCCAGAAGCCAAGGAAATTGCATTCTGCCGGGATCCTGAGGCAGCATTGAATTCTACCTCAACAAATTAACTGGAGTTCCACAAAACCAGCGCTTTCAACAACCCCCATCAATGCATTACAGAGCTACGTCTTTCGTGTGGTATAAAGCAAAGTGCCTCCATCTTCAAATTTTGCAACAAATTGTCATTAGCTACGTGCTGAGTCCAGGCTATCAAGTCAAACCGCCTCGTTACTAGAATGGCATCTGAATGAATTTCGCCACCAGCCAGATTCGCAAAGGAGACAGGAAAATGCCTCCACAACAACAGTTACGGCAGGTAGAAGAAACTGGACAATTTTTAAGACACCAGATTTATTTATGCAGTGTTAATCAAAAAGTGTGACATTTTAAAGTGATCCTTTGACCACAAGTACGTTTGCATTCCTTCATGGGGTTGAAGTGGTTCACGTTGTCTCTGCAACCGCCGTAAATGAGTCCCACACACTGGCGTGCTGTGGAATGCATCCATGATCTTCAAAGTGGGCGTAGCATGGTCCTCGGATAGTTGGTAGGCGGCAGATACCCCCTTTGCCTAAAACACAGGAAAGTTACATCAGGCAAGCCTGAGTTCCACAAATCATTGACTGTGGATGTGTTGAACACGTGCAAAAGTTTGTAGCATAAGTGGCAGTGGAGATGCACACCAATGCCCACGAATGCATGGAAGTGTAGCGACAATACACAGAGCGCCCTTACTGATAAAAATAACTTCACCAAATGTAAGCGACTCCTTTCAGATTTTGCATACCTGCTCCAGAAACCGCCACCAATATGACGTGTGTCCAACCTCTCAACGACACACTTTAACTGAAGTCTACCGATTGGGATGTAATTAATTTTAGCCTAACAAACCGAGCCTACTAACTCACCAAGCTGTCAGTGTACAATTCATCAAGCAGATGAAGAAACTACTTTGCCGAGTTAACAGTGTGGAAATGAATGGGTTGCGAATGCGTGTGCATGCATGCATAGGCACCAACACAGGAGGCTAAATCCACTCCAACACGATCAAACTCGTGTGGCAACTGGAGATTGTTGAGTTTAGTGGAGGTGTTGTAATGAGAAGCGAAACGACACATGGAAAAATAGGAAAGTGGTTTACTTACCGTGACTGAAGCTGGCAACACAAAGTACCACCAGGTCGGGAAGAACGAGCTTGGATGTCGCGATGCAGTAGTGAGGTCAGCTGGCTTTGTTCAAAAGCACCCTTCCTTGTGCTCGGTTCTCACCTGCTCGAGTCAAGAATGAAGGTCTCTTCAGTGGAAAGAGATAAGTCGCAGGGTTGAATGAAAGTATTTTGCCCAAAGTATGTCGAATGTTGATGCCACAGCGTAAA